GAGGATCCCCAACGGGCCCCCGAGGGGGGGGGGGGGGGGGGGGCGGGGGGACCAACGCCTCCCTGATGGCTCTGCTGTATCTTTCAGCATTCAGTCCCATTGACCCAGGTGCCCTTCTGGGCTGTTTGGCCGACAGGGGACTCCGGGGGGGGGGTTGGTTTTGCAGGGGTTGGACGCTCACAGAAGGTTTGCTGTTTGACCTCATGGCGGTTTGTTTACATCCATGGTTCCCAAACTTGGAGCTCCACGTGTTCCCAGAGGTTTTTGCCCATGGCCATGCTGGCACAGAGTTGCCATGCTGCCAGGACTTGTAATCCAAGAAAGCTTGCCGGGGGTGGGGGGGCAGCTTTGAGAAACTTCAGCTTCTGAGACACCAACACCGCCCTGGCACCCCTGCTCTTCCCCACACATGTCGACCTTTAGATGGCGCTGCTGAGGGAAGTCACCCAGACCCTGGGCCATGAGTCTCACCACCGTGCAGACCTTCCCCACCTCCGCCTCCACCTCTGGTTTCAAGACAGCGATGAAAACCCTGCATCACCACCTAAGTATAGTAAGGAACTGTACACAGGTGAGCAAGTGGAAGCTCATCTTAGACAAGGAAGAGGTTCTGTTGGTTTGGCAGCCGAACAGCCACCCTGAAACTGGGGTGAGCCCCTATTCTGGAGGAATTTGTGCTCCTTGGATGGGAGACTGAAGGCACGGCACAGGGGCCAGGCCTGCCTGTGGCCTGGCCCACCTTTCAGGAACCACACCTCCCCAACCACAAGCCAGAGACACCAGCTGCCAATTAGTCAGGCTGCCTTAAGATTCCTGGACCCAGTTCTGGGCACCACATTTTGAGAAGCAGGTTGGGAGATTGGAATGCATTCAGCAAAGGGTGGCTAGGATGGCAGAGCTGAAAACGGAAGACCAAGCTCTGCGCAGAACAGTCGAAAGAGCTGCTGGGCCTTTTAGCCTGGAGAGAAAAGCTTCGGAGAGGACAAGGCGGCCGCCTCCTGAGATGAAAAGGGCTCTCATGCAGAAAACGTCCTCTGTCCTTTGTGGCTTCAAAGGGCAGGACGAGCAGCGAGGGGTCAAATGGCCCAGACAACTGATCTGGCCGAATAGCCAGAGAAATCTCCCCAGAGCAGCTGCTAGGAACCACAGAAGTGAAATAAATGGGCCCTGGACAGGGAATCCAGGGAGTTTCTCAAGGAATTTGAGGAAGAGACAAGGCGGCCAGCTGGAGGGACCACAAGAGCTGCCTTCGGCTTTCTCCCAGTTTCATAGTCCCATGAGTAGGAAGCTGATAAAATGGGACAGATGTTCATGTGCCTCCCTCTGTCTGAAGAACACAGACAAAACAGCTGTGCATTTCTGCTCTGCCCAACATGGCTGAGGATGTTAAGCCCAGATATTCACAAGGGATGACCGGGCTCACAATCCACCCCGCGGACTCTTCTCCGGGCAGCTGAGGCCTCACTAAGCCTCGGATGAAAAGATGCCTTCAGGGGGAACAACTCCCTCCTTGCCACAGAGACAGCTTCACGGCCACGGCACCTGGCCCTGGAGTCAGCCAGCAGTGACGTGGTCTCTCCACGTGGGTCACGAGGCTGTGATGGAGGCAGCTTCAGGGAGCCCAGCATGATCCCTGCAACTCCAGATACACTTATCTCCGTTATTTACATGCATTAATTGCCAGTATTATCTAGATACCCTGTTTCTATATCTAATCTGAAGCTTTCACTTTCAACACCGCACATACTGTAATTACACCATTGTTTCAGCCTTTATCCATGGCAATTACAGAACAGCCAAATGGGATCCAGAAAGGGACCCTCTTTGCAGATATCTGAGGGGGGCAGGATTTAGATTCACAGAGGAAAGTGAGAGGGGGTGGGCAAGAAGGACTGGGGTGTCCAAGCCCTCCCCGGGGGTCTCATGTCTTGGACGGAGCTGCCTCTGAAGAACCAGCGGACACCCCACGTACCCTTCTGCCAAACCAGACCTGCTCATCTCTGTAGAGCCACAAGACACATCTGCTCAGCAGGCTGTCCTACCTGGTGTGCTTTGGGGAGGGGGGGTCAGTTCTCCTCTAAATCACCCTCCCAGAAGGGGGAAGAGGATTCCAGGAAGCCACCTACCCACCCACCCATCCACTCTGGTGCTCAGCAGGGGTCAGAGTAACAGCCCTCTGCTCACTGGGGCTGGAAAGAGGACGCGCCAAATTCTTCAGCCATCGTCAATTTAAGCGGCCTCAACTGGGCAAGACATGGCGGGGGGGGGGGGCTTCTCCTATTTCATGACATTTCTGGCCACAACCAAGAGTAAGTGAGGGAAGGCCACTATCTCTTGCCACTGTCTCCGAGATCTGCACAAACACATGCTTTTTTCTTCAGAGAAACAAAGCGATGTGTGCACATGTGCACACGCACAAGCACACACCACCACTGAACAACTTACTGGCTGTTGAAAAGCAACCCGCTTTTTGCTCTGGTGCTTCCAAGCAACAGAGCAGTGGGACGGTCACCCCAAAAAAGGTTTTCCCGCGGACAGGCATAATTTGCACTATTTCTGGCTCCTGTGCCGCCAGAGGACAAGGCAAGCAAGGGCCTCCAGCCACGCTGCTCCTCCAGCAAGGCTGTCCTGGCTCTGGGCTCCAGGGCCAGCCTTCCTCCCTGCACAGCGCTCACCAGCTGGAGACTCAGGCTTGGCTAGCCCAGCAGACCGGAAGGAGACACAGACAGACCACCTGCATCTGCAGCCTTTGCTGGCAAAGGGTTGGCATCAAGTCAAGCGGGACTTGGTTCAAGAAGGAAGTGGGCTGTGTGGCAAAGTAGATGGTCACTGACTCATGCCCCCCCACCATCCTGCCTGCCCCCTCTCCAGGGTGGGTCTGGCAGAGGGCACACCGTGGAGCCAACGTTGTCTATCCTTGGAAGCTGGGGGGAGGGAGGCGCATTCCCTGGCATAAAGAACAACAGGGGGTTCAGGGAAACAAAGGAGGCCCTCCGGAGCCGGGCATGGGGTCATTAGGGGTGGAGGCAGGGAGATTTTATATGCAGCCGCAGGAACCCCTCTGAGGAAGAAGAAGAACCTCAAGGGCAGCCCGTGTAAGGGGTGGCCTCATGTCTTCCTGGATGCCCACGGCCCCACTGGACAGGAACCCCCTTAACTCTGAGAATTCAACAGCCGGGAGATGGAAGGAGGGGCGGTTGATTCTCTGGGACCTCGGCCATCGCCTGAAGGAGAAAGAGGGAGCCAGCAGGGAAGGAGAGGAGAGGAGAAGGGTGGAGGTGGGGGAGCAGATGGTGCCGGGCTTTTATTACCTGAGACAATGGAAGCGAGTCTGAAGATATCGGTGAGCCGAGAGGTGACGGGCTCGTAGGGGGAAGCTTCGTAAAACTCCTCTCCTGGCGCAGGAAGGACAACAGAGAGCGAGGGAGAGGGAGAGAGAAAGGGAGAGGTTTAGAGACTGCGCCAAGCTAGAGGGCAGCCCCTCAGGCTGCCTTGGGGCATCTGTGCTGGTGAAGCCCCCCACCCGCATAGCCAAGGGGGGAGGGGAACAGGTGTACGGGGAAGGGCAACCTGCCACACACCTCTTGAATCCAGGCCCACAGAATGGGGGAGGGGAGAGAGAAATACAGCTTTGGAGTGGCATGGGGTGTGTGTGTGAGAGCTGTGTTCTGTGAAATGGGATGGAGAGACACCTCGCCACTCTGTCAGGGGGAAGAAGGAAGCCAGAGCCAGAATGGCTTTCAGGCACTGACAGGCTCCACCGTCATGGCAAGACTCCGTGGTAGAAAAATTCGGGGGGGGGGAGGGGGAGCCACGTGAGAGGCTGTTGCTGAAAAGTCAAGAAGAGGCATTTCTGGCCCCTTCAAGACTCACAGGTTGCCGTAAGCGGGGCCCTACGTTGACTCCCGGACCTCCAAAGACTTGGGCTGGGCCAGGCAAAAAGCGCTGGTCTCCAAGGTGCCGCACGATGCCCGGTGGCCTCCTCCGCCCCCTGGGGCCCAGGGACCGGTTTGGATTGCCAAGGGAGCCGGTTGACTCTCCCCCCTACATCCATCCCTTCTCGGCCAGATTCCCTCGGCTTGGCAAACACTCAGCAGGTTCCAAGAACGTCCCAGGAAACTCCTTGGGATGGGGGTGGGGGTGGAGGGCGGCTTCTGGGACACCAACATTGGGAGGGAGGGCGTTTCTGGGGATGCTCCTCTGCCCGGTCCCAAAGAACCCCTGCAACACAAGGCCTCGAGACCTCGGGTTCCAGCCCTTCCAGTTGGTGCCCCCTTTGCCCCCATGATGGTCCACGGGGGGGGTGGGGGAGGAAGCACCCCTTGTGGCCACGGGTTGAGAAGAGGCTCCCGAGGGGTTTCAATAGGAAACCAAGTGGGAGGAGGTGGCTCCTGGGCTCAGCCAGCTCATGGCCTTTCCCCCTCCAGCTCCTTGACCTCTGGAGGGGTCCTTCGCCCGGCCCCGCCTCCCTAGACTTCCGATTAAGAAGTCAAGCTCCTGGAACGCAAGCTTATTAGCAAGCTAGGAACAGGCAGGGGAGGGCCAGCTCCCTCCCTCCCTCCCTCCCTCCCCAGCAGCTGCTCCTCAGCGGACAGTTACAAATGTGTTTCATTACTGGAAATCCTTCCCCACTGCCAGGCAAGGCGGGCTGCCAGGGCACCAGGAGTGCTTCTCCAGGGGCCCCACCCTGCCCTCTCTTCCTCCCTCCTGCTTGCCTGTGGGAGGCAAAGCCAAGGAGTCGGGCACAACCGCTGGGGGGGGGGAATGGGGCAGAGGGGAAAGAGACATTCCAGCCCCCATCGGACACACCTTCCCACCGTGGGATGACTGGCCCTTCCCGCCCAATGATGTTCTAGGGCACTGTCAGGCCACATCTCAAAGCCCAGCTCCCTCCCTCTCTCTCTCTCTCTCACACACACACACACACATAACAGAGCCCCGGCCGTGCCACCCCTGTCGCCCGGAGCGCAGGCGCCAGCCGCTTACCCCCCGTCAAGCCCAGGTGGATGCTCCAGTAGATCTGAAGGCAGAGCAGTTCCTTCTTCATCCCCCGCTTGCAGTGGCAGTCATAAAGCGGGCTCTCCTGCAGGACCTCCAGGGCCGCTTGGCACTCCTTGTTGGCTAGCATGGTGTTGCGGTCACGCCCGGCCACGCACTGGCGCAGGGTGCGGTACCGGGAGCTGCAGCTGGACTCTGCGGCACACAGCTCGTTGGCTCGAACACAGTCCACGGGGGCCCGCCAACGGAGGGGGTCCCGGGTGGCCAAGGAGGCAGGAGCGGCCCAGGCACCGAACACCTTGTCTGGAGGGAAGGAGACCCGGGCAGGGAAGGGAGGGAAAAGAGAGGCGGCGTCGTGAGTCTCCGTGGCCCGCCCACCACTTGCTCCAGGGGCCCCCCAAGAGCCGGCCGGTCGGCCATCCCTCCCTCCTCCCTCCTGGGTCAAAGCCGGGTGGGTGGCTTGCTCACCATCAGCCCAGCTCTGAACCACCATCACCGCCACAGAGGGTGTCCTCGCAGCTCAGCCCTGACCCACCCCAGCCTCTCCACCGAGGCCACTCACTCCCAAGCCATGTTCCCCACTGTGTTGGGGAGGGGAGGGACAGAAGTGGATCGGGACCGCACAGCCTCAGCCTCTCCCCACTTCAGTGGAGCCACTGCTGCTCCACTGCACCCAGATCACAGCAGGCCCTCCAACCACAGAGGCCGATGCGCTGCGCTCCCACACCTCGCTTTCCTTTCCTCCCTTAGTCATTTCTCACGACTAGAGCGGCCAGTTACATCTCACCAATTAAAAATGGACAAAAGAGGGCACAGATTTCCATCTCCTCATTGTCATGTTGTTGTTATGTGCTGTCAAATCAAAACCGACTTAAAGCAACCCTATGACAATTTTCAAGGTAAGTGAGCTATTTAAGGAGTGGTTTTATCCATTTGACTCCCCACCCCCCACCCCCAGTGAGTTTCCATGGAAAAGCTGGGTAAACGAACCCAGGCCTCCTGAGTCCCACTCCGTCACTTTATCCCCTACATCACACTGGGCCCCCAACTAATATGTATGGATACAAGATTAGAAAGGCTTTCCACCCTTTCGGCTGAAGCACAGGGCGTCTCACAAGGCAGGAAATCGGCTGTCAGCCGATGGACCGTGTGCTGGCTGCTGCTACGTCTGCCTCCGGGAGGCTGCTTGCTGGGGATGACGGGCAGCTTCAGGGTCCCTGATCCCTTCCTTCTTGTGCCTTTTCCTCTTTAAATCAGAGTTGGGCCCGGCAGCCTTTCCAAAGGAGAGGAACCTTCTGCAGAAAGACTCCCCTCTGGCAGTCCTTCCTAGGAGGAGTGTCTCCTCCCCAAAAGAGGACACTGACCAAAAGAGGAGGACACTGACCAGGTTTGACGGGCAGGGAAGGTGAGCAACTGGCCTGGTTTTCCCTGTGAGCAAGGCAGTTTTCAAATCCGTCCCTTGCCCATCCGCAGCCACCCCTGCATGGAGTTTCTGTAGAGAGACAGCATGGAGGGAGATGCTGGGAGCACATCACAGTTGCTCCATCTCCTTCCACTGCTTATGCCCCTTCCAGTCATGGGGGGGGGGAGCAGCCTCTTGGAATGAGGAGAGAAAGCAGCCATGGGTGCTGACATGTTGTGGCCATGTCGGAGGGATGGCTCTACCCAGAAGCCATGCCACCTTCTAGCAGACAGGGATCTTGAACTCCAGCAACCGCAGGAGGACTGTGGAAGCCCACAAGAGCCCCTTGCCTCAGCATAGAACTCTTTTGATGATGGTTGCATTTTCATCCCTTATTTCTTAATTTCTAGTATTTGTTAATCCCTTTTAATGCATTCTGGGTGGAAAGGAACAAGAAAACTGACGGAAGAGTCATTCAAAAGCAGATTTAAGCTGCTTTTAAAAATCCAGTTTTCAAAAGTTGTTTAAAAACCTGCAGCCATATAGAAAACTACCATTTAGGGTGCCCGGAAGCAGGACAACAACAACAGGCCAGCCTGAACTCCCTTGGGATGGAGGGATGGGTACAGAGGCATCCCTGTCTGGCATGCTCCCCAACATGACTTCTCACGGCAGTAGGACTTGCTACGGGATCTCTGCCAAAGAGCTGAAATTTCACACAGGAGGAGAAGGACTGTCAGGTGTCCCATGTGGCTTACAGGTCAAATCTGCCACCTGCAACTGAAATTGGAAGCTGGAATTGTTGGCTAGAGACTAGCAGTGTATGGTCTCTCAAATGCACACCAGTACCAGCCGAACTTCCCAACACCATTCAAAGGCTGCTCCACAAACAGGTGGCAGGAATCTAACCTGCAAAGTAATCCAGGCATGGAACCCTGTGCAATGCCAGGCCAATGCCTTGCCTAAGAAGGGGCATAGCTGGGCAAAGACCCTAGAGGCTGCATCCGGACAGCTGGCCTTCCCAAAGGCAGCCACGCCTCCCTTGTTGATCCAGAGAACTATTGCCCTAGTTGGCTTAACCTTGAACTGGTTCACTCTTAACCGAGCCCCACACTGACAGCACAGAATGACTCAGGACTCATTATCTCAAGAGGAGGGCGGGGTATAATTAGCATCACATGAGACCCAAAGTCCAGGCAGCTTCCTCCAGCAGTTTCATCTAAGTATCGTTGTTTTACTGAAGCGCAAGGCACAGCACAGACCTTTCACAGCACTGCTGCACAGATTCTGCCCATTTGCACAAGTGGGCTACAGTTCAAGTGTGTTGCTGCAAACTCAGGAACCTTGCAAAGTGCCAGGAAGTTCACAGTGTTCCAGCCTGACAAGAGTCTCCAGAGAACATGTTGCTCTCCTTAGAATCGCATCAAAGGGAGAAAGTCTGACAAAGGGGTTGACGAATAAACCCCAAGTTCTCATCTGTTTCCTGGGATTAAAGTCATGCAGATGAGCGAGGGGAGTGGGGGAAGCTTGCCAAGAGTGAAGACCGTGTGGGTCTGGGTTTCCTGCCAGCAGGTGCCAAGCATCGCCTCGCGGCACAGCCTGCCATCTCCATCCAGGCCAGGGTCTGGATGGCTTCCGGCTCCTGCAGGGCCAGGGCACCACCACCCCCATGTTGCACCAGCTGTTGAAAGTGGCCCTTGCCCCGGAGGGCCCAGGTGGCACCCTCTGTGGGGCCCAGCCAGCTGCCCAGAAGGCCAGCGTGCGCTGGATGTATCACTTGGTGGTGGATAAGGACTGCCAGGGCTGCCCCACTGCAGTTTGTGGATCCCTCAGGAGCCGGTTCTTTCGTGCCCAGAAAATAAAGTCTGAACTCCTTCAAGGGAAGAGGAGCCGAGAAACAACACTATCCCACGATAGTGAGTGCGAGCTGACACTCAGGGGCGGTGTGTGTTTTCCCCCCACTGGCTGGCTGGCTGGCTGGCTGGCTTGATCAGTTTGAGCTGGAACCGACCCCCTCTCACTGAAAGGGAGAACGAGGTCCTTCTCCCTCCTGCGTCCAGGCCAGACCTTTCCCTCTGCCCCCAGCCAAGGTTCCCCATCAACACCCACTTAACAGAGGGGTGAGAAAAGCTTTTGCATAGATGGGTGTGTGTGTGCGCGCGTGCCTGCGCTGGGAAGCCTTCCCAGAAGCTCTTGGCCAAGGGGAGAGGCCTGGGAGGATGGGAGGGAGACCAGAGAGCAGCTCCTGGCAAACTTTGCTCTCCTGGGCGGGCTTGGCCAAGGCAGTTCTTGGCCCCTCCCCCACCCCCTGCTTTGACATAACTGGGAAAGACACTCAGGGGGCCTAAGTTGCCTCCAGCACCAGAGGCGGCAGCGGGCAGCCCCCCCCCCCCTCCCCTCCCCTCTCTTAGCCATCCGCCTCACTGGGCCACTCCTGCCCTTCCCCGAAGAGAGGCAGCGACACCTGCAGGAAAGCAGGGGCTCTCCCTGACCGGGAAACCTTCCTCCACTCGCCAAGGGAACAAGCACACGGGGCGGCTCTGAATGCACAGGCGGCCTGTGCCAGAAGCAGAGGCATTTGGGAGGGGGGCTTGTCTTCCTGGCTGAAGCCCTGCCTGCAGGAAGCTCTTCCCAGCCTCTTTGCCTCGTCTCCACTATGCAGCACCTCCCTTCCCATCACTCGGTCCACAGAGTGCCAGAGGCTGATCTCCCAGCCCTGCATAGCAGGCTCAGGAGGGGGGGGGGAGGCTCTGCTAGTCTAAAAAAAGGCACCCAAACTCCATGGCCTGTCTCTCAAGGCGCCTGATGTTCTAGCACATGGCAACAGGGCCGCTTGGAAGGGTTGTGGATGAAATGGCATCACACAACAGCTGCCGCCAGGGCCCACCCCTGGCCAAGAAGAACCAAGGCCAAGGCCGAGCCTCCCGACAGAAAGACCACCAGGCTGCCTGGGCTTGCAAGGAAGGACCAGGGGTACAGGTGAGCTGCCAGCCTTCAGAAGGAAGGGAACAGCGAAGGGGCAAACCGTCTGTAGAAACCTAGACTGCCATCCTCCCTGAGGGGGCTCCCAGTTTCAGCCATGATCAACCTCAAGGGCATTTCCAGAGAAGAAAATTGGATCCCTTTCTATCTCAATGCCAGCCTGCCAGTCATCAGCGACACTCCCAGTTTCCAAGGGATGGGAAGTACAGGTGCAGTCTCTCTGCAAAGACTGTTAATTCAGCCCACTGAGAAAAGAGGTATACCTGGCCCATCAGTGGGGAGGGGCGGCATGGTCCAGAAGGAATATTGCCATCAAATGACAAGGATGGCCAATGATGCTGACGAGGGAAATGGGCACTGATAATGGCTTGATTAGGTGCTGAGTTTGCTAAGCTTCAAGTGCTAACAACTTCCACAAAAGTCCCCTCAATGGCAGGCATTTGGCAGTAGAGTCTTCCTGGGCATCATCCAAGCCCCCACCAATTGCCCTGATGGGTCAAGGAACAAGTGTTGTTGTGGGAGCACGGGAGCAACACAGCTCCCTCCCCCATGCCTGCAACAACAAGAGCAAAGCACAAGCTCATGATGCGTCATCAGAGTGGTGTTCATCAATTTAGCAATTGTTGTGTGCTTCTTCCTCTAGGCTACGTGAGAGCCAACCCCGACCTCCACCAAAGAAGGCAACCAGCCACAATCTCATCAGTCACATCTGGAACATCTGCTCCATTAAACAAAGCAGAGTGCCTTGCACGCAATCCGCCACCAAGAGTCTCAATGGAATGAGTGAGAAGAGCTATAGCCAACAACCTAAAAGCACGTGCTGCACAACATTGGCCTCGCTGGCAGGTGCCCCTCGTCTCAAGGAGACTACTCCAAGAGGAGTTTTCCAAAGTGACACCCACCTTTGCCCCTGAAGCCAAAGAAGGAGTTCTCCAGATTGGCTCTCTGGCTGTCAGATCTGGGCAAATTTGCCCCAAATCTCTGGCAAGGCAGTAGAACAGTTGCTAACAATACCCAACGATATGGCACCGTTGACCACTTCATTACGAGGCTCCACTCTCAGAAGCATTAATGCTCAGAACAGAAGAATGGGGGATGGAACATGGATGCAAGCAGAGCCTTCCCTGAGGCTGAAGTATCTACAGGATGAGAGAGCAACCATCAGTCGCTGAGACCCCTGACAACCCCTGGACCCTAGACCGAGGCAGGAGGGATGGTCAAAGCAACCCATGTTGGGATGGGGAATCCTTCACTAAGCAACCTTCCCAAATTTGCTCCTGGAACCCAGTCCAGATCAAACTGCTATCTCCAAAGGCAACTGGAGGCCACCAAGTCTGGTCACATCACAGCCGCCAAGAAATCTCTCTCTACAGACAGCCATGCAGGGTGGGCGTGCAGGGTGGGGAGAAGCATTCTGCTCAGGAAAAATCTGATTGGTCAAGGATGAACCAAAATTATCCATCCCATTTCAGTTTCTCTTTCAATCTTGTCAAAACACACTTCCATCTTTGACAGATGCTTGAAATGTTTTCAGGGTGTGTGTTTTTTTAAAAAAAATTCAAATCCTGAAAAGAAAAAAGAAAAAAAATGCACCACACACAATACTACTAAGAACCCTCAGAGAGTGACTCTTACTCTACAGAATCTCGTAGCCCACAAGCTTGACTTTTACATAACAAGAAAAAAAAGTGCTACTCATTTCAACAGAAAAATCAAATCTTGTGAAAGTTTGCCACACCCCAATAAACTGCTTGTCTCAGTTCTACTTGGTTCTCCTTGGACTTGACCATCCGTCCTCAAGTGCTCCCCGACCACCATTGCCAGACGCCTCGCCATCACAGAGCCTAGGTCTTGTCTCCTGCATCGAGACCTTGTGCCTCTCAAGCACTGATCTGGGGCAACAAGGAGGCAACAAGGAACCCCTCCTGATGAGCCACTCCAGGAAAAGAACAGATTGTGCGGTTCTGGAAGGGCAGCCGCAGCCAGCAATGGGGAGCACAGCTGACCGACACGCAGCCTGGAACCACTCCACTTTGGATGCCTGTCCCCAGACAGAAAGGACGGCCTGGGAGTTTGGTGGAGACTTGGGTGTGAGGCTGACCCAAAGCAACTCCAGAGGGCGGCTGCTCAATCCTCGGCGCTCCCAAGATCAGGCCTGTAGGTCGCACGCCTGCAGCCTTTCCTCTCATATCCAGATCCATCCCTGCAACACCCTGATTTCCCCTCCTCCTTGGAAGATGTGCAAGTAAAAACCGGGATGGGGCCTGCTTGCCTGTGGAGAGAAGCCAAGGACCCCTCGGCCTCCTTGCCTTCTGGACAAGCAAGCCTCTCCCTGTTCCCTGTTCCCTGTTCCCTTCCTGGGGTTGTGTTCCTACAAGCAACAGGAGGCTTGTAGGGAATCAAAGCTGAGTTTGTCACTGAGCATGTCTGGATGCCCCCTCTCTCTTTCTGTGCCATGGGTGGTGCCTGTAACTCCTGCTCAGGCCATTTTGTCTGATGCCAGCCAATGCCGGTGCCAACTTAGAGGTGGCAACCAGTGGAGGTCAGAAACTCTGATTTTGGGGGGCGAACTGAGGGTGCTCCCGCTTTCAGTTCAAACGTCCTTCCCTCTCTATGTATCGTCTTCCTTTCCCCCTCCTTTCTGCCTCAAAAAGAAGGCCAGGTGGCTTTAGAGGGAACTGTCCAAGGTCCTGAACACCCAGTGCTGGCAAATAAAGAGCCAAGCGGGGGCCTCTTGGGGCCATGGAGGCTCCTTCCGAGGAGGAAACGTCAGCAGACAAGTTTGTGCCTGCCTTTTTATTTTAAAGTGAAGGGTAAAATATTCCATATTGGGCATAACTGAACAGAAACTAAAACTGTCTAGTCCCACTGCCCTTTGTAGAAATTCAGAGTGGATCACACCTGGGTTGCAGGGAACAGCCCATGGGAAAAGAATATCATCCTCCTGGAGAGGAGCAGAGAAGGAGGAGTGGAACTGGATGGAAGCTGGTCCCTGTGAGGAAAGGCCACCATGCCTGAGGCTGGTTCTGCCCCCAGAGAAGAAACAAATAAGGTGAAACAAGAGAGAGGTGTGTGTGTAAAGTTAGGCACAGGGTGGGGGGTGGGGAACTGACAGGGAAAAGGATTTGCTTCCTCTCTCATCATAGTAGAAATGAGGGTCATCTCCTGAGGATGATGGGTTGGGAAATCCAGGACAGACCAAAGGAAGCGCTTCCCTGCAGAACTCACCCCCTTCCCCCACAGCCCACTGCAAGGAGGCCAGAAACCTAGAATAGCCACCCTGCCCAGCCCCACAGCTCCCTTCACAAAGAGCATGCCTTCATACCCAGCAGTCTCCTGCGTGGAAAGAGCAGGTAGGAAACCCACCCAGCGCAAGCCCTTGGGCTGCCGGCTTTGTTTTCATTTCCCAGCGTTCATCAGTGACGGTATTTGGGGGGGGGGAATTGCAGCTGCCTGTCGCTCTTGCAAGGAGGAGTACAAGCAGCTGTGCCTCTGAGACGTGTCCACTCACCCTGGGTCCAGTCTCAGGGCAAAACAAAACCAAGTCATGACAGATCGCCCATGGCTGGAGCTGAAAGGAGTCTGGTGTGCGAGAGGTGGGATTTAGGCAGACATTTGTAGCCTGTACATAAGTCCTAGAAGATGAGTCACACAACCAAGCAAACTAACTTGCAAATTGCAGGAGAATTTTAAAAGTCCTGGCTGTGCACTCAGATGCTTCAAACAGTTAAGGACCTCCCTCTTTCAGTGATGGATTCTCTATTCCACTAGTATAAACTAAGCAGGCCAAGAAAACCAGGCAGCTGAAAGCAAAAGCAACATTATAGACTTAAGCAACGGGAGTCCTCCAAAGACTGATTTCTTGCACCTGAAATCCTGCCTTAATCATGTCTCTCTGACACTGATGTGCCACACCAGCCGCCTGGTATGGCACATTAGGAAAAAAAAGGAGGGTGGATTGGTCGGTAGGATAAGGGCAAAAGCAAGAGAAAGCATTGAAGAAGGGCTGGCTGTTCTGTGAGCTGAGCAGACCTAAACGGGGGAGGGGGTGCCTTGGCTCCAGGGCGGCCATGCTGTATGTAAGCAGGAAATGAAGGAGAGCAGGGGGCGGCAGCAGGACGGGCAGCCTCCTCACTCCGCTCCACTCCACTCCTTGGGATAGCTTTAAAAACCAGCGTCCGGGTGCCAGGAAGGAGCAACGGAAGCGCCCTTGAGAGAGAGCCGCTGGTGTCCCCCCCCCCCCAATGGTTCCTTTCCCACGTTCCCTCCTGAGCCTGGATATGCCTCCCTTCCCCCAGGACTCTCTCTCTCTGTCTCTCTGTCTCTCTCTGGCCCAGGTGGGTAGAGTCGGCGCTGATGCTCAGGTCCTTTGGAAGTTGTCCTGCGCTGGACGAGAGCGCCTAGGGAATATTTCGGGTCTCTCCCCTTACAGACAACCTGTCTCGGACTGAAAGGCTCCCCCCGATCCTACGCACCCAGAGTTCGGTCCGGTACGGCGGGCGGGAGACAAGCTAGAGCCCCGAGCCCCCGGCGGCAGCTCCGGACGGGCAGGCGAAGGATCGTCTCGGTCCCGCAACGGTCCTGCGCTGGACGAGAGCGCCTAGGGAATATTTCGGGTCTCTCCCCTTACAGACAACCTGTCTCGGACTGAAAGGCTCCCCCCGATCCTACGCACCCAGAGTTCGGTCCGGTACGGCGGGCGGGAGACAAGCTAGAGCCCCGAGCCCCCGGCGGCAGCTCCGGACGGGCAGGCGAAGGATCGTCTCGGTCCCGCAACGGTACGGTT